ATCCTCGACCCGCTCTCGGACAAAGTGATACTTGACATCAATGTGCTTTGTACGCTTCTGCATTACGGGATTTTTGCACATCTTGATGCAGCTCTGGTTGTCCTCGTTGATCACAGTTGGACCATCACACGTCATATCCATCTCATTGAGTAGGGATCGTAAGTAGAGGCCTTCCTGAACAGCCGCTGCCATTGCTTGATACTCAGCTTCGCTGGTAGATATTGCTGCAGTAGGTTGCTTCTTGGTACTCCAGCTGATTGCTGCTCCTGACCGCTGCACATGAAAACTGTAGCCTGTTGTTGACCTTCTGTCATCAACGTCACCAGCCCAGTCAGCATCTGCTGAACCATAAAGGTTGAACCCATCAGGATCTTTGATGTAGCACAGCTCCAGATCTTTGGTTCCTTTCAGGTATCGCAGTACTCTCTTAGCAGCCACCCAGTGTGTTCTCCCAGGATTCTCCAGAAACCGTGAAAGTTGAGTCACAGTAGCTAGGATGTCTGGCCTCGTTTGCTTGGCTATGTACAATAACGAGCCCACTATGCCTCTGTAGTCCTCACGCTGCATTGCCACTGCTTCTTCTGAGCCCGCTCCAGGGCAGTCCTTCTTCGTCAACTGAGTGCTGATATCAGCTGGTGTCCCTACTGGTTTGCAGTCAGCCAACCCAAAGCGCTCCAAGCAGTCTTCAATGTAGCGAGACTGATTCACAGTGACAGAACCAGGTGCCCGTTTGACCTGCATTTTCAAAAACCAGGCTAATGGACCGCGGTCATCCATCTTGAATCGGTCAGTGAATCGGTCCCTCACCCTGTCAACTTCTGCTTGCAGTTTGCAGCCAATGATGATATCATCCACCCATACTAGAACATAGATCATAGCATCATCCATTCCCCTCATCGTGAACAAACAGAAGTCATTGGTGCTTCGAGTGAAACCAGTCTCCAGAAGAAACGTGCTCAGCGTCTGGTACCAGTCCCTTCCTGCCTGCTTCAGCCCATAGATACTGCGTTGTAGCAAACACACTTGGTTGTCCCCGCTGCTGAACCCCTCGGGCTGTTCCATATACACAGTTTCTGTTAACGGCGAGTTGAGGAAGGCTGACTTCACGTCCATCTGATGAAGTACAAGATCATCTTGCGCTCCCAACGCCAGTAGTATTCTCTTTGTTTCTGGTTTACAGGTTGGCGCAAAGGTCTCATTGAAGTCCAGTCCTTCCACTTGCATAAAACCCTTCACCACGTATCTGGCTTTAAACCGCTCCACTTGTCCCATTGCATCTCTCTTCACAGCAAGCACCCAGCGTCCAGGAATGACCTTGCGAGAATTTGGTCTATCAACAAGTGTCCAGGTGCCCATTGCCTTCAGTGACTGCACCTCCAAAGCCATAGCTGCTAGCCACTGCTCCCTTTCTGGTCCAGATACTGCTTCCAAGTAGCTTCTTGGCTCTTGTGCTATCACTGAAGCATGAGTGTAAGCCAGTCCGTATCGGATGGGAGGGTTCCGCGTTCTAGTTGACCGCTGCTCTGGAATCTCTGTTGGCCTCTGCTCTGGAGGCTCTGTGGAAGGTGGTTCCAATTCTTCAGTCTCGACTGGGTCATCTTCCGTAACCCCCACTGAAGCTGCTGCTCCACTATCATTCGCTTTATTGGTAGACTCAGTGATGGTCTTCGTGCTAGTTTCCTCTACATCAAGGCATCCCTCGATTGATAGACCCAGTGTTTGTGACTGCTCACTGTCTACCAGAAAGTCGTCTGGAATGATGTCTTCATTGAACGTCACGCTTCTTGCTCGTACCACTCGCTTTGTCTCCAGGTCCATCAGCAAGTAGGCTTTGCTCTCCTCGTCATAACCAATGAACTTGCTCTTCTTGCCTTTCGGATCCAGTTTCCGCCGGTTTCCTCTGTCCAGGTAGTACGCCAGGCATCCGAACACTCGCAGGTAGTTGACTTTCGATGGCTTCCCATAATGCATCTCCATTGATGAAATGCGATGCTCATTGCTGGATGTAGGACACAAGTTGCGAACCCTGACTGCCGTTGACATTGCTCGTACCCAGAACATCTTTGAGAGCTTTGCATCGGCCAGTAGACATCGAGTCATCTCAGTTATCACCCTGTTGTACCTCTCTGCCACGCCATTCTGTTGCGGAGTATTAGGTACTGTAAACTCCTGTTTCACCTGCATTTCTCTACAGAACATCCGAAAAGCATTCGACGAATACTCACCTCCGTTGTCAGTTCTCAAGCACTTCGGTGTTCCGTGCTCAGCTACAAAGTCTTTGAACTTCGAAAGAGTATCGCTCTTCTTAACCAGGTACTTGACCACTGCCAGACGGCTGAAGTCATCAATGAAGCTCACGGCATAGCGCGCTCCATGCATGCTCGCAACTTCAAATGGTCCCTGGATGTCGCTGAAGACCCGCTGCCCCACTGCAGTTGCCCTGTTCTCTGTCTTCTTTGGCATTGCTACTTCGTGCATCTTCGAAGCTGTGCACACTTCGCAGAACCCTAGCTCGCCGACATCAACAACTGATATTAGATCATGCTTGTTGAGATGCCCCAGCCTTCGGTGCCACAGCATTGCACTACTTGTCTCCATCTTCGCTTTCGTAGCTAGAGTCATCGCGTTCCTCTTGAACTTGCACTCCAGGAAGAAAAGCTTGCCGCGCTGCTTCACTGGTAGCCGTCGACCATCCGGTGCCACAAGATGAGAAGAGTCTGATGTAAAGCTGAAACTAGACCCTCTAGCTATTGCTGAGCTCACACTCATCAGATTCACGTTGTAGCTCGGCACAAACAGCACATTGTGGAAAGTGTAGCTCCTCGTCACATCTTGACAGTCTCGTATGTCCACTTCCACCGAGCCTATGCCCTCAATCTTTGATATTGTACCGTTCGGATTCTCAACTGTTGTCCCCTCATCCCATTTCTCAAAGCTTGAGAAGACAGCCTTGTCGCGCACTACATGATCGGTGCATCCCGTATCCACAATGAGATCATCTCCCTTCATTGAGGTTGTTGCACAACAACTGAAGAACCCTGTCTTTGCCTGCTTGCAGTCCCTTGCAAAGTGTCCTTGTTGTCCACACTTGAAGCACCCTTGCTTCCTTGAAGTTGGACCACTTGCTTCATTCGAGCCACTGCCTCGAGCACCAGATTGACCACTGTCACTTCTGGATCTGCAATCTCTTGCCAAATGACCCTTCTGACCGCACACAAAACAGCCACCACCCGACGCTCCTTTCTTCTTCCTCACAGCTTGCATAGCTATGTGTCCATTCCCAGTCTTCTCTCCACATCGAGCTCGTCTCGAGTCATCATAGTTCCTCAACCTCGTTCTCAGCTCTGTAAAAGTCTTGGCCGGCTGGAAGCTCTCCTGCACCACGAAATGCTCAAAGCTGTCAGGCAGTCCGTTGATCACGAGCGCATTGAAGAGTGTGTCCGTAATTGCTTCCCCAGCTTCACTCAGCCGCGTCATCAGCTCTTGACTTCGAACGAAGTAGTCATCGAGATCCTCCTCTGATCCTAGGCGCAGCTTCGCAAGCTGGCCTACTAGACTGACCACTGTAGGCCTCTCCACACTGCAAAACTTCTCTTGCAGCAGTCTCCAGGCCTTCGTCCCATCGCCATAGCCATCCGCAGCCACGCAGTCGTTCTTGATGTACATCAGTGTGGTGTTGTTCAGGACCAGAGCTAGATGTGACCACACTGTGTTTCGGTTGTCTTTCTTCTGCTGGATCAGCACAGCTCGCTCCTGCATCTTGGTGTTGTACGCCGTCATCTGGTCAGCATTCGGATTCTCAGGTAGCGTAGGTTCAGCTTCTGGTAGATCGTCATTGCCCATCACAGTCCTGAACAGGCCTTTGGTATGCATCAGTGCCACAAACTTCGTCGACCAAGCTGGAAAATCTTCAGACTTTCCACTGAATCCAGCCAGTTTCAAGTCCATCTCTGCTTTGCTAAAGGCTAGATAAAAGCTAAAAAAAACTCTGACAGAAATCAAATAATTATTAAATCAAAAAGTTTAGAAATCTGGGCCCATAACCTGTTAAGATTCAGAGTTAGAGCAAGTAGGACTAGGGGATAGAGGTTTGAGAGTTATCTGAGGTTTCAACTGAGGAGAGAGAAGAGATACTGATTGTTGAAGAATGAATTGAGATTGTGTTTATAAAATGACACGACAAACTGAGCATCAAATAGTACCAGTTAATTAATTACCAGTTAATTAATTAGTTTATCAAATACCAGCAGACCAGTTGACCTTGTCTGAGTGCATTGAGTTTTATACCAGTTGACCTTTAATTAGGTTTCTATTGCTCAAGTCTGACCTTGAGTTTGGTCTGGTATTTCACTAGTCTGGCATTGAGCTCGTCTGTCCTCAACAATTGTTTGGTCAAAATCATTCCAAAAAAGGGCCCAACGACATCGCAGAGAGTTTTGGCGCAAAACATTTTGGCTAAATAGAGTCTTTAAAGTGTTATGGGGAAACCTCGGAAAATCAATATGGTATAAGTAAAATAAGGTCGACAAATTATCCGGAATTTTTTTTGGAAAACCACTTACTGGAAAAGCTTTTGCGCACGCTATACGAGGGACTGCTCGAGTTTTTTTTTTCATTTTTTGATTAACATTAAGATTTGCCAATGGCTCCAAGTTATTGTATCTCGGCTGTCTGTGTTTTACCGTGTCACAGTATTCAGTAAATTAGCGAAGTTTACATTGAGAGACTGCGAATTTCGTCTATTCTTCGATTGGTTCATGTAAATTTCTGCCAAAATGAAATTGAATTGAAACTATTTAATGGGTTTCAACCGTGATTTCAAAAATTGGAACATTATGTTCGGAAGATAATGACGACATCAAAGTTGACCTTTCAGTTGCAACATTTTGGATTTAATGTAAAATCTATGAATAAGTCTGAAGGCTAACAGCAAACATCTGAATGGAAAGCATGATTAGTATTCCTGTATTCTATTTATGGCGACATAATTGTACATTTATTCTGTTAATGTTAATCTGGTTGAACTCTTGTACTGCCAATATTCGTTATTTCGTTCCTGATTTTGTCAAATAGTTCAACAAACGGATCTGCCGATAGCTTATAGTCGAGTGTTGCAATTCTAGTCTATTTTTCTACTAGGCTCCGATCTAAAAAGGGCACAAAATGGCCGGAGAATTGAGACCAGTCGTGACTTTGCATCCTGATTTTTCTAATGCGGCTTCTTCAATTGGTCATCTCAACCTGATAACTATTGATGACGCAGTTGGAACAGTTTTCAAACACTATCCCGGAATTTTCAATACTGAAAATGTTTCCCCGCCACTCAAATTGCCCAAAATGCCTAAATTTAGCCCGGAATTGAAAAAAGATATCACAAACTACATTGAAAAAGACACATCTATTCGAGGAGGCTGCATTTTGTACGACTATCACGCAGCTTACGCTTCTGGTTTTGTCAACTTAGAAGAAAATTTTGAAAAAAGTCCACAAAGCTCGATAAATTGTGTGTATGTTGACGTACATAGTTGCAAACTAATACTTTTCGTTACTGCTCAAATCAGAGATAAAATGAAATCAGGAACACCTAATTCGGAACAAACCATTGCCGAAAAAGTGATATCCCAGTTGGAGTTGATAGAAAAACTTTTCGATCTGAGTAAAATAATTCATAGTTTTGTCGAAGTTAGACTCCTCGTTGAGTTCAGCAAACCAGGAGCATCGGAGAAAACTGCCGAAGAAGCGACTGAAAGAATAAAAGTTCATGTTACTAATGGGTTGAGCAAATGGACCGAAAATCAAATCTGTTTCTCATTTGCCTACAAACCGAATAAAAACAAACCATTCGGTCTCACGGTTTTATTTTCAAAAGAAGACAAATTTTCGGACAGCCGAGACCCTGTCAAAATCAAAATCGATTTTGATAAAATTGTTGCATGCATGATTTTGACATGTCCGAAAATTTACCGGTTCTTTGTAAATCCGACCTCAATTCCATCGGTTAACGGCACTTCATTTTCACCCGCAAATGTGGACGAAGTTATTACATCCATTTTTGGCCTATATTTCCCAGAATTTGGCGAGAAGTTGGAGACCTTACCCAGTTTAGATGTGGCGCCCATTAGCTTACTGGACAAGGAAAATCCAGGTAGTGTTTTGCAGAGCAATGATGATGGTACCCGAAAATTTCTCGCAGAGCTGCGCGATTTTTGGATGAAGTTTTTGCGTAGCTACCAGCTTTCGCACGGAGTTTTGCTATATACAGTTGATCAGAAAACAATTGGGAAAATTTTCACGAGGGTGAACAAAAATGACTCTTTCGAATGTGATTGGTTGTGGTGCACAGCCAAGGGATTTATTTCATTTGAACTTGGATTAACGTCATCCCCGCAAGAACCCAAAAGTGCCATTGCCAACAAACTCAAACAAATTACTTTGACAACCGCTCCCAAACTTCACCTAATTGTTTTGAGTTTGTGGATCCATTTTCACAAATCTAGAACACCCGGTCTTGAAATCAGCGAAGAATTTTTGCAAAAAGGATACCATTTTATCAGACGTTATGTTAAATTTGTAATTTATATCACCAACACAAATAAAGTCGCAGTTGACAACTTTTTAGCCGGTTTTGTGCCTAAGAAAGAAGAGATTTCCTATGAATTTCTACCTCAAGTTTGCTTTTTGTTGAAAGAAAAGTCTTTGAAAAGCGAAGAATTGCGGCTGTACGGAATTTCGAAGAAAGAAAACTTTCTTTCACTTGGTAATGCTGAGCTTTCTATCGATGCTCTATTTCCATCGGAGGAGGAAAATTCCAGCTCAAGTTATGGTAGCGCTGAGCATGGACCATTTTTGGAAACGGCCAAAACTAGCGGTGAAGACTGTGTAAATGAAACCATTCAAGTTTTGAGGTACATTTCCGCAATGATGATTATTGGGAATTTTCAAGAGCAGTCTGAAAGCGCATTCTTGTCAATTTCACAGAGAATAAATCCAGAAAAGTACCAGAAGGCTGCTGGAAACTTAGATGAAAACCTCCTCAAACAGTGGATGAAACTGGATATTCTTCCAAGTATCCAGCAGTACAGATTACTAGAGAGAGACCTGAGATTCGTTCACATTTATGGGGAGCCAGGCACGGGAAAAACGACGCTTTTGCAAATTGTGGCTATTCAGGAAGCGATGAAAAGCAACATCGACAAAGTCTATTTTGCTGTTCCAGAGTCCAAATATTGGCTGAGAAGACAATTAAAAGAGTTCGTTCAAAAATCTGATTGTGACTTCTTTGCTCAAAAATTTGAGCTGATTGATCTGGAAAAATCATGCAGAGAAGACAAATGGTCGACGGTTACTTGGAGACATTTGCATAGAAGTGTACTACTAGTTGATGAAGTCAGATTTGAGTCCCCGCAAATGAGTAAGCTGATGTTTTCATTCAAGTGTCAAAAAAATTAAGTTGTTTTTATGTAATAAATGCAAAATCTGGAATAATTTTCAAAGATTATTGTGGCGCTCATGTGATTGCGGGGGAAAGGGGGGTTTGGTAAATCAAATAGTTTACGATATTTGAAGTTTTTTGATTTTGAAAACCACGTTTGATGAGTTATTGAGACTCCACATTTTAGTTGAACTTCAGCCAACATTTGAAGAGCTCTTCCCTCACTTTGGCAAAGTGTGGATCAGCAATATGGCACCGATTGACCTCAATCAAATTCAAGGCCAAGGGAAGTTCATCGGCCTAGAAGGATTCCATCTAGTTACACTAAACATACTCTTCAGAAGCGCTGCTCATATTGGCGCTCTTTCATCGAAGTTCTTTCACGCCCGACGTCCCTTTGATCACGTGAGCGCGAGACTTACTCAGTGTTTTTTGACCAACCAGTCGAAAGACATTTTCGAGCAACCTTTGCCCTATAAAAAAGTGGACGACCTTGAACTAAAATCTGCCGACCCAAGTTACCTCATAATTATTTTGGCCGATCGAAATGAAGAATTCGAGTCGTTAGCCGACCAGCATGGAGATAGAGTGATTGTAGTGAACCGTGATCAGCTAGGACCCGACGCGAACTTCGATTTCAGCTTCGGAGGCGCTGAAGTTTCTGTCTTGTTTTTCGTCATCCACTTTCTCTCCGAAACAGAAGTTCTGCAAAACGAAGATTATATGTGTGCAGTTTTGAAAGTACTTGCCGAAGGATTCACTCGCGCGCGTTTCAATTTCCGTTTTTACGTCAATGACAAACATCTTGACTTTTTCAAGGCAGTTCTGTCTATTGTCAGCTGTGAGTTTGAGGATACTTTGATCGAGGCCAGAAACGGAGAATCGGAGGTTGATATTTCTCAGATAACCGAAAGAACAAGAATCTCCTCTGAGGTTGCAAGAGCTGCCGTGATTTCCCAAAACATCCAAGTACTGAAACGAATGAACAACAAGTTCATTAAGAATCTCGATTATTCCGAGATAGCACGAATAATTTCAATTCTTCACGCTGACATGTCGACGCAGTTTCTAGGAAAGTTTGCGGAGCTTTTTGGTGAACTTATCAAACCGATGTTGACAAATTCGATCCACGCTGAAATGAACATAACCAATCGAAGCGCGACTTATAACGATTTAATAGCAAACTGCAACGTCGTGAAATCTGTCTATGAATTCCTGAGGAAACGATGTGTGAAAGTCCTTGAAATGCTTTTCGGCCTTCTTTCCGAAGATTCACTTAAGATCTTGCTAGAAATATCCACCAACTTACTATATCACGGCGCGTTCAGCGGAGACCTCACAACGTTTAAATTTGTAGGCGATCTTCTGAAAAAATTTGACCTCTGGGAAGACCGTATCAATGAATTATATTTTTCAGAAGTCGAAAAAAGTCCACATAATTCAAAAACCAGTCAAGCTTTTACAATATTGGCGATGATATGCAAAAATAACTCCAGCACTTCATGCGTGAAATTGCTGCTTGAAAATGGATTCACCAGATTTAATTTAAAATACAAACACAATTGCTTGTATTACGCAATCTGGTTTGGGAATCTAGAGACAGTCGAAGCTTTGCTTGAAAATGCAGTAGCAAGGAAATGTTATCTAGACGACTGTGCTAATGATTATGATGGAAAAACTGCTTTAGAGTTTTCCAAGCTAATAGGAAATGAGAAAATAACTGCCGTACTATCAAAGTTAGTATAGGTTATCTGAAGTAGGATAAAAAACAGTTAATCTTAATATGTTAAAAAATATTTGTATTTGGCATTCAAAAGCATAGAAAAACTCCTTGTTCCATGCTTTGTATAGTGCTGATTTAAATTTTTTGGAAAAAACGCAAAATCGAAAATAAGAACGCGGTTTTCTCAAATTGAGTTGCTCAGTTAAAAAATGATGAAGACAAAAATGGCTTAGAAATTTTGCAAAAGTAATAGGGTGCAATTGGTTTTGCGAGTTTCATGCCCTATTTTCAAGTTGTTTTCCCTGTGTCCGGATAATTTAAATCAGCACTGTTAAATACAATAGGATGTTTTCAGCTGCTATTATTGTAATAGTACGAGCTAATTGATTGCCTACAAAAATTGCTGAGTCAAGCTAATTGAGTTGCTAAGCAGGAAATACATCTTGCGTTCATTGTCCGAGTTAGCGATTTGAAGTCTCCATAACTTCATAAGAAGTAACCACATGTAACATTTATGCCTTTAATTTAGGCTTAGGGCCTCGATACCATTCAGGTGGTATTAAAAAACTTGGTTAAAAATTGGCTGGTTTAAGAGAAAACAAGACACATCTCGCACTAATATTCCATCTATTCTTCGAAAGTTGAAACAAAAAGACAAGGGTCATGCCATTTACTATAAAAATATATGACAACTTTATGAGAAGCAATTTCTACTATATTGCAAAAAAATTCCGGTCATACAATTTCCATATATGAAAACTGTAAGATAGGCAATTTTTACTTTGCAATTCTTACTTTACTGCAATGTGAAAAATACGTATTTTAGGAAAAAAAATTTTGTTGTTAATTTTAGCCGCAACATCATTTTCTTGCTACTAAAAACATTTTTTTTTTCAAAAAAAATTGCATGCTAAAGTTAGTTATTTTTTTTATAAGTAGAAAAAAAAGTTTCTCTAAAACATAGTCTAGGCGAAGTTTTTCAAACAAAATTGACTAAATTCACTAAAAAGTTTTGTGCAACTCAAACACGAAACGTTTAATGTTTTTGTTTTGTAAAAAAACTTCAATTTGTCAAAAAAATCATGCCACAATTTTTTAAAAGTAAAATTTTGACTGGAAACTTGCTAGCCAAACACAAAAGTTTAAGGTTTTATTTCATAGATCAGAGTGAAGTATGAAATATTAGAAATATTATCTCAGACAATAACTACGCAAAGGCGGGTATCTGTGAGATTTATTCCCATCAAACAATATGATTGCTTGTGCTAAAAAGACTTGGCTATTGTGTTTTCGACAAAACTCAAAAACTTTCAGCAAAACTTGAAAAATAATGAATTTTGGGTTTAAGGAAAGACGCTTGTCATATAATTTTTAAGTATAAATAAATGCTTATTGTAGAGTTTTCTCGCAATTTTTTGTACATCCTAGTAGTTTCAATGATATATATCTCAAATTTATTATTTTTTCATGCAAGTTCCTTATTTGCCACTGTGAGAACTGTCTCCTTTCAACAACGCAAAGTCATATTCTTCATATTTTCCAACATCAACAATTTAACTGACAGATTTTCATATAAAAAAGCGTTCTTTAACAACAATATAAAGATACCAAAATTTGATTTTAGAAAACGTCAATTTTTCCGAATTTTGTAGAAAATGAGGTATATATATATGCTCGGGGTGTATTTTTTTTCAAATCGATTTTGCAAATATTTGGTCACTCGGGGGATTGATCTCTACATCTGCATGGGCCCAGCCGGGTGTACACACCACAAAAAAATCTGCCACGAATCTGTCTAAATTGCTCGTTTTATACTTTACATGCGTCAAATTATTCCGTACTGCAAAATCGCTTGAAATTGAATTTAGACAGCTAATTGGTTTTATATTATTCCATATACGAGTCAAATTGTAACATTTAAATTATGATATTATTAACTTAAAATTCAGTTAGTTGTCAATATTTACCAAAAACGATTCGAGATCAACTAAAGGGCAGTCGGAACATTCAGGGCTTTGCCCTGATGAGCAGTCTTTTTTAAACTTACATGCCAGTACTGTTGTGCTTTTCTTACGTTCAAACTAACCTTGTTATAAACCGCATTGATAACTACTATAGCTAGAAATTGGGTCAAAATCTCGTGACAGACTTTATCAATTGAATAAACACACATATGTCAGGTTCAGAACCATATTAGCAGTTTATCGAGTAGAAAATCATTGACTACAAAATTGTATACTCGCACCCTAAAATACTAAAGCGTACCATAGTCAGTTTTGAATAATCGTACGCACCTGTCGTCACTTTTGTTTTTTATCATTAATAACATAAAAAAATGAAATTCAATATTTGTATTATGAAGTATAAGTGTCTGATTTGAAGCATTAAATGGTCCAACGTAGTCTAAAAAACAGCGAAATTTACAATGAGCAGAATCGGGGAAAGCCAAAAAAAATAGTTCCCAAACTATAAATTCCAAACTATAATCAATCCTTGTAATCAGGGGCGGATTTAGGGGGGTTGTAATCGCCCTCCTCAGGGATTCGAACCCCTGCCGACCCAAAAGACCCGAAAGACCCAAAAGATCCAAAAGACCAAACACTTTACAAAATTCCGATTAAACCAAGACGAATAAGACGACCAGTGACGTCTAATTAAGCAAAAAATTTGTTAGTTCAAAAATTAATCTAACTTTCAATCAATTTAAATGAAACAAGGCTAAGAAAAATTTTACTGAAAACTTTTAATTTTGACTCAGAAACAATTCTATTAAAAAATTATGTGGAGTTTATAGCTTAGATTTAAACTCAGATCTGAAGTTGTCAGTTTCAACGTTTCAATTTCATATATTTAGAATTCATCCAGAAAACATTGCAGATAAAGAATTAATTTTGAAATAGAAATTTTAAAAAACAGCTCAAATTTGTCAAGAAACGAAACAAATGTTTATTTGCATATAATATAAATTTTTGTCATGTTTCAAGCTCCAGAAAATTAGATATTTTTTTAGAAAAGGTTGATTCAAATTTACACGAACATCAGCCTTGACGACTAAGATTTGTTTTATTCCTTTTAATTATACTGAAAAAAAAATCATTTGCTTACTCTTACAAAACAACATGTTATATTTCTTGAGTCTTATTCTTCTCGCCAGGTTAGTTTAACTCAAAATCTAAAGTTACATTTTTCAAACAAAAATACTGAGCAGTTTTCTCAGTGTCGAAAAAAAACTGGTATAGTTTTTAATGCTATTAAGGCCTTTTAACCGCTAAGGGAATGAATAAAAAAGAGCGGTCTTTGTACATAGTTTTTACTTTTTAGAGTTTGCTAAAGAGATTAGTAATTTTTTCTTGAGGTGAGTTTTAGGCTCGTACAGGCTACCACCTTATTTGATTTTAAATAGGGTGTTTCAAATAAACTTTCAAATGTTTTTATGCTGAGGTACTGAAAATTTACACGCTCAAAGAGCGTAGGATAATGACATTCATTTTTAAGTCTTGAATCGCGCGACAGCTTGTGAAGACTTTTAATCTCTTAAAACGTCTATTTTCTACGTTGGGTCAAAATTGCAGTACCTCAGCTCAAAATTTATTGAACAAAATTTAACAATTTTTATTATACCGAAGAATTATTCAAAGTTTGAGAGACTAAGAGAAGTACATGGAAAAATTAATTTTTCGGGCAGTCTTTTTTGATATCCGGTTAAACTTTTTTCATGAAACAGACCCAATTTTGCCTTGCGTTAGGGCAAAATGGTGGCAGTTTTCAAAGTTATTTTCTTTTAAGTTTGGCTGATTGTTCTTTTTCGGATTGTTTCAAATTTATTTTAGAAAAGTTATCCCATCGACCACTTTTTTCACGCAGCCTTCCGTCCTTGGCAGCTATATCGAGCGTCAAAAATCTTGTTAGAAGTCCTTGACGATTCAATTTCATGGCTTTTTAAAAAATACTATTTTCGTTAACTTTCTATTTTGAAAACTAACATAGCGTTGCCGTACTCCAATGCAACTTGGTAAAGTGAACAAACGAACAACCTGATAGTTTCTTGCCTTCCATCGAAATACAATGGTTTCAGCTGTTTCTTTTTTCTCTTTTTTCATTTTTGATGATTTTTCGATGAGGGCGAAAATCTAAGTCAACGTGTACAGATTTTTTTTTGAAACAGAAGCGTGTTTCTTAGTAACGTGTGAGAAATCGATACTTGAACGGATTGGCAACCTGATAAACGTACCGTACCGTAAACAAAGATGAATGAAATGATAAAATTGTTGTTTCCAACTATGCATACTCAACATCAAGAATCAAATTGATACGACCAGAATAAATAATAATAAAACCTGTAAATGTTTGTTAGAGGTTGGCAATGATCCGGCGTGATGTCATTCCCCCCTCAGACAAAACATGAATCTATGATTTTTAAAAACTTTTTGAGACTGGGGCTTGAGTTTTATAGTCCACGTGCGACGGTCGTTATGCTTTGAAATTTTTCTTCCTCAGGAAGTTTTGATCTGTATTTGTCCTATGATCATCATTTTGTTTCGCATTATGATCGTCTTCTTGGTTCTTTTCGTGTTCTTTGGTTGTGTTGGCTTCTTCAATGTTATGCTCTTTTTCCACCATGACGGTTTCTTTCTCCCTATCCGTGTTCAACTAGTAAGAATTCTCTCGGGTTTGAGCTCTCTCGGCCATGGCTGATTGTTGGGGATACTAAACAGATAAAGTCAATTTTTCTAATGCTGCGTTTGGGTTTAATCGCCTCCCGATACTTGACAAAAGCCTGGAACTCAATCGATTTTTCCTTAAAACCCATCTCGTAAAACAAGATTTGATATTTGAGTTATTTCCCTCCGGTTGTTTTTCGAGCGAATCGACGACAATTTTTTTTCTTTGATTGTTCAATTGCAGTTTTTGGTACTGGAATGCCTAAATTCCTCGAGGGCCAATGCCAATTGTCGTTTACTTAGGGGTTTTCTAGTTGCTTCGATTGATATCCTTGGAAGTTGGGGATGCGACTTTTTCTTGTCTGTCCCTTTCGGGGATGGCACCGTATTCTCCGAAGTTGTGAACCAGTGATCGCTTGATGAAGCTGATGGTTCTGATTCGGGCTTTTCTAATGTCGTTTTTCCACTGCTTTGCGCGGCTGATGTTTCCACGTGGAAATGTCATCCCCTCGCTGGTGTCTTGTGCGCGGGTTTTTCTCCTGTCCTATTGCCTGTTGATGCCTTCGAGATCCTTTTCTTTGACCTTTCCTGCAGCTCCTGCTGTTCCTTTCTAGTGAGCTCTTTCAGTAACCCTAACCTTTCGTCTTTTTCGAACATCGGATGTCGTGGCGCGTTTGGCTAAACAATTTTTTTCTATTTCAAACATGGAACCGTTCTCCTCGCGGATTTATATGCAATATAATCAAATTATTGTGATGCTCTTCATGGTCCGTCAAAATTTGGGTTAGAAAAAAATGCAAACCCGCTGCTTCTGAGTAGGCGAAGTTGTTTACTTAAACTTACATCCAAGCTGTGTGTGTATAAAAAAACTTTGCTTTATGTCGTTATGTATTGTGCTCGAATATTGTTGGGTCTTTTAATTTTGTGGCGAAGCACTTTGTTTCCTTGCTAAATTTTCGATGTGATTTTGATGTTTTCCTTTACCTGTTCTTGTACCCTGTTGTATCGTAAAATTGATGATTCCCGTTCTTTAGCTAATGCCTGTATTGTTCTCAGATATGTTTGCTGTTGGGTTTCCGACATTGTGAATCGGCTCCGGCATTCGTGCTTATCGCATTCTTTTGAACACAACTTTATTTTCTGATTAACGTTAAGGTCGTGCATTACCCCTACAGGTAGTGGTGGTGCATCATTTTTTCCGATCTAAATAAGTTTTGCGTGCTGTATTTTGCATTTTGCTAATATCAGTTGTGATAAAATGTTACTTTGTTGTAGCTAATTCTAAGTTAAAACTATTAAAAAGAATAAAGAATTAAAGTGAATTAGTCGGTAAGTTAAAACATTAAAAACAATGAGAGATCATTCTCTCCGCCGGAGATAATGGCCAGTGAAGGTCATATAAGAGTGACCTGTTATCTAATCTAATTAAGCTAAATAAGGTTTGCAATAAATGCAAAATAAGATCCAATCACAACATTCCTCTAAGTAGGAAAAATTTTAATTAGTGCCCGATAAGTAAAATACGAAATAACTGAGTCTGAGTCCTTTCTACCCCTTTTAGGGACAGAGAAAAAATTTTTATTGCACAACTGAGTAAGTAACTGGAATTAGCTAAAGCACCAACACTAGCACTAAGTAATGCACAAATAATTGAGGTTGAGGTTATCCGGTATCCAACGGAAAGGATCTAAAAAGATAGGTAAGGGGTAGAAATCCAAAAACGAAATTATCACCGCAGGTTAATGAGTGAAGAGGTGTGAGGTCACGGAAGTGAAATAATTGCCTGAGATGAAATTTATAAAGGCAGAATGCGACGAGCAAAATATCGATGATCACTCCGAAGGATTGATGAGTTACGAACAGTTATGCACACTAAGTCTTCCAACTCAAATTTGTGAAAAATACAGTTTAGCACCGGTGTGTGAAGTGGAAAGTACTCGAGAAGGGAATAGGTATTAAGATTATCGTTTACAACTTCTATACGCATTTAAAAAGTTTTCAACTTCGGCATTAAACAGTTCACTACCGAGTTCTGAATGTTCTCCAAAATTATCTACTGCCATCCTTAATGATTCATCAGTTGAAAAGGTGGAGGTTTGTTCGGGAGATGGAGAATCCGAGTCAATTTGAATCAACTCCACCGGAGCCACAGCACTGTCTGCCTCGTGAGTGGTGTTATCGTCTTTTTCTATCACGATGGGGTTAGCTGCCGAACCAGAGGTTTCTTGGGATCTATCTACGGCATCTATAAAATACCTTTGACCGTAAAATTTTGGTGGTCCAACATTCTTACTAGAGCGTCGGATGGTGGGAGGAACTTTACCAGGTTTGTTGGTAGAGTCGTGAGACGAGGTGCAATCGTCAGTGGAATCTATTATTTCGTAAACCGAGAAGTCTGTTACTGTGCCCGAGTCCGTTGGATTACGATCGTCCTGAAGTTCCCGTGGCTTGATGATGGTTTCTTCCGCCACCTGTTGTGAAGTATTCTGTTCCAGTGCACTAGAGGTTCGGTTAGCGGGGATAATGCTTATTGGGCATTCAGAAGTCTGGTCCCCAAATTGTGCTCCGTATTGGGCCGTATTGTCTTCTAAAACCTCAGATTTTATGTCATTATTGGTTACACTAAAATTGGGGCCAATTCCATTTGGAATATGAGTCGAGCGTGAGTCGGAAATAAAACGCTCTCTGGCTACATCTCTACAAGGGAAACCGCCCGCTATCCAATCCCATTCACTAGTATCCGAAACATCCGAAGGAATTAGCATGGATTCATCTGAAGCTAGGTAACCTGGAGGAGTTGACGACTTCTTCGAGCAGCGAGTTTGTCTTCGGACTGGTTTGTCAGATTATCGGATGGGGCCAGTTCAACTTGTTTGCGAGTCCTAGGAATCCATTTTCTCGGTTTTGGTTTTCGTCTCAAACCCTCCTGCTTCTGACCTACTTCAACATAAGGATTAGGGAAATAAGGGAATGAAATATTTCCTTTAAAAGGTCTAATTTTATTCGAGGCAGATTTAGGAATCGCAATGTCCGACTTTTGTATTTTTTTTCCGTCGGATAATTCTACTGTCGAAAGAGACGAATTTATGATTCTTTTGTTTAGTTCCTTATAGAAACAGTCCCGATTGATGTTACCGTTTGTTTTCCGAATGATTTTACCTTTAAAGGGGCTTTGGAGGGGTATTCTATCGGACTTGATTTTCGAGGATGAGGCGTAGTCATTGTCATATCCCTTTTCGATTGGCGTTTGGTTCTTTTTCGCTACCAAGTCGTCCTTGTATCCATCCTCGAGTCTATCGTCCGAGTTCCAGTCATTTGCCCGTTCTTTAGATAATATAGATTTCCCTTTGTCTAAAATTTCAAGGAAGGTTACCAGAAGCAAATTGTTTCCAAATTGTATTTGGTTTTCTGTTATAATGAATTTCAAATGGAGAACATTTGATTTTGGATTGGTAAGATGAACGTAAATTCCAGATAGTTTTTGAAACGGCGT